CCTGTAGTTCCGAACTAGTTCTGAATTCTATAGTTCTGAACCAGTTCTAAAATCGACGACGTGTGTGCGATTTAAATTATTTTCAAAGAAATTTGTTTTCAATTTGAAATGAAATTTGTTTGAGTGATTGTAAGAAATGTACTTTTACATACCTTTGGCTGTAGCTGAGTTTACAGAGGTGCTTGCTGTTATTGGTTAGATTCTAGAAGATCCCATGATTTTAAAATGTTCAAACAAATTTTTGTTTTGTATTACCAAACTATGAAAAAGCATCTGCGAAGTGCAGAATGGAAACGTATTTGAACGAAAAAGCCACCAAACACATATCTATGTAATGTAATGTAATAAGCCACCGCTGTATCCCTTGATCCGAACTAGTTCTAAATTCGTCACCTTAGATATAGATTTCTAATGGAAAAGGTGAAATAAAATAGTTTTTTAAAAGTACCACATTTCGCTGATTTTGAACAGGTGGGGATCTAGTTACAATTGGACTGGTTCTTTTTTGGTAATAAGGATCTAGTACGAAACTAGAAATTTGATTCACTAGTACGCGGTTTCCCTGCAGGGTATGTTTCAGCATCTCTGTATGTGTGTGAACGCACATGCGTGTGTATTTGTGCTCATGAATTTCATGCTTTTACACTTGAGGGCGCTCCAAAGTGCTGCTAAGTATTACAAAGTATTAAATTCCATTAAATGCAGGAAACTGTTGCATTTGCTTACTACAGAAAAGCATTACAGATTTCCATATGCATGTGTGTATGTGTTTTCCTATGTATGTCTGTATGAATGTATAGTAAATTTAGCTGGTAGTTAGAAACAAGTAATTTGTTTTAATGGCAGCACCATTAACGACTGATAATTTTAATGTTAGCGTTAGCTGCACTTCTCCAGCAGCTGTCGGTAAGTTCAATGAAATCCTTTTCATTATAGCTTCAAAGCCACACACAACTACATACACATGTACACGCAGAACCAATTTAGCGCATGAGTTAAGGATTCTGAGTGGCAGTCGCTGCACTTGAAATTATTTGAATGCCTTACTATGCATATGTAGTATGTACAAGTGTATATACGACTCCACAACATATATGCGCGCACGCGTGCACGTCAAGTGGTTATAAGCAAATTTCTATAATTACAATTCTGCCAAATTAGTTGGTAGTGTCTATCAAATAACTAGTCAGCAGCGCACTCGTAGCTATTTAATAGTGTTTTGGGGCCTTATGCGTTCCATTGCAGTCAATTGGCAGGCTATGATGTATTCCAACAATACAAAATCTATATACAGGATAATGCATACGTATAGACTGCGTTGCATAACTATAACACCTCCACATAAAAAAAAGGTTTGACTATTTGTTTTTAAATTATTTATTTCAATTATTTTCTTATAAAAATATAGTTCATTCTATAACAAAAACCATACTAATCCACATTTTAAAATTTGTGCAAAAATTAAGTAATTTTTTTTAAGTTTTTTTTTTATTTGATTTTTGCATTTTTTGTTGACGGTGTTGTTAATTTTCTTCCTTAAAAAGAAAATTTTCGAACATACTTTGTATTTCATTTCAAACTTTGTGCAAAAATTAAAAAATTTTTTTTACAGAATTGTAGTTTTTTTTAATTTGATTTTAGCTATTTTTTTTTGTTGACGGTTATGTTCATTTTCTACCTTATAAACAAATTGTTCGAACATATTTTGTATAAAAGCAAATGAGTGACACCGTCAACAAAAAAAAAAAAAACCAAAAATCAACGATATTTTGTAGCCACTTCAAACACGCTTTTTATTGTATGTACTAAAATTGAATGGGCTATAAAAGTGCATATACAAAAGTTTTCCAAAAATTAAAAAAAAAATTTAATTTTGGTGAAAAGTTTGAAGTGTGGATTTGTATGGGGTTTATTATAGAATAAACTATATTTTTATAGGAAAGTAATTGAAATTAAATTATATAAAAATCAATAATCAAAACTTGTTAATATGTGGCGGTCTTATAATTATGCAACGCAGTGTATACGTATATTCGTCTAGTTATTTTTGTTACTGCCTGCCGTCACTATCTTATCAAGCATACGTATGTATGTAGTTGTGTGGATGTGTATGTATCTCTTTCCCGCGGGGGCATAATATTCTGCCAGACGAAAACTGGTTAATTGTTAATCAGTTGGCTGGCATTGGCATGTGTCGGATTACAAATTGGCTAGTTGTCTGTCTGCCTGTGCGCCAGTGTGTGTGTGTGTGTGTGATAGCAGAGCGGCCGCCGCACCGCAATAGTAGGATATATTGGGCCTAGCCGCGTTGGGCGACAGCTGTGTGCTCGTATATAGCCACTCACTTAAAGCTTGCTGCTTGCAAACCTTTAATTGCCTAGGCGTTGCTGCATAACTGGTATCTGATAATCACTTTTCAGCGTAACGAATGTTGCAAGAATCTGCGCGTGCATATACGTTTATGCATGATCGTATGAATATTTGCGAGAAATTGATTTCATATGAAACTTCTTATTATTTTCCTCCAGCTTCATCACTTTCCACTTTTTGAGATTCTCGAAATACATAATTCCTTTAAGGAATATATAACAAATAAATAAATGAAAGATCTGGCGGTTTTTTAAATCTTGATGTGTAAACATCTTAGCTCTGGGGTAAAATTTGCGTTAACCCAGCCGAAAATTTGTAATTGCTTCTTGTGTGCACAAATGAACATTTCTGGACTAGTTTAGGGCTATTTTAGGTTCATTTCGGGACTAGTTAACCGAATAGTTTAGGAAAATTTTGGAACTAGTTTCTAGACTGGTTTACGACTATTTCAGAACCACTTTAGGAGAGGGTTCACAGGGTTTCGAGACTTGTTCATCGATAAGTCGGGAAAAATTTCGAGGCAAGTTCTTGACTATTTCAGAAATATTTCGGAATCATTTTGGGAATAATTCAATACTAGGGCAGGACTATTTTACGACAATTCTGCGACTATTAAGGGACCTCTACGGGGCCGTTTTAACACTTGTTCGATATCATTTCGGGACAAGTTCACGACTATTTTAGAACCATTTCGGGACAAGTTCACGACTACTTCAGGAATATTTCGGTACCATTTTGGAAATAGTTCAGAACTAGAGCAGGACTATTTAGCGACCATTTTCGGACTAATAAGAGACCGTTTCGGGACAAGTTCACGACTATTTCAGAACCATTTTGGGATTAGTTCTGTACCATTTCAGATTAGCTCAGGACTGTTTCGCAAGTGATTCGTGTTCATTTCGGGCCTGGTTCAGGATCATTTCCGGTCCGGTTCAGGACTATTCACTATTTCAGCACAATTTCGGGACTAGTTCAGTACTATTTCAGAAACATTTCGCGCCTAGTTCGCGACCATTTTGGGACTAGTAAGGGACCATTACCCTTCGGGACAAGTTCGCGACTTCTTCAGACCCACTTCAGGACTACTTCAGGCCAAAATTTGGAACTAGTACGGGAGAGTTAAAAACTATGCACGAAACGAACCTGAAGTAGACCTGAACTATTCCCGAAGTGGTTATATGTAAAAAATCGTTTAATGACCTCGAAAAAATTAATAAAATATATGCATAATTTCTAATCTAACCTACTTATGTATGTTACTGAATCACCTAATGTTTTATTAAATATTATGTTACCAGGCTAGTCTGATCTATGTTTTTAGTGCGAATAAAACTACATTATTCCACTTTCTGGCTCAACGTTTCGCTAAAACATTTTTAGCATCTTCAGGGGCAATCCAGCTTTATTAAATCTGCCACAAACCAAAAATACAAAGGCACATTGTAATCAAAAATTAATGAATATAACATACAAACATACATATACATATATGGAATTGTTTTGTCAAGTCGCACACAGATGTTCAGACATTACATTTCATGATTACCTGGTACTCATGCCTTTTTTGGCCTACCACCACAAAAGTGTCACTTTTAAGATACTGCATAGACAATGGAAATACTTAAAAGCACTTGCCTGGGTTCGAGCTACAAGCAGAATGATGCTTCCCAACTGCATCAGTGGCTAAAGCTTTAAAGTAACTAATAAATCTCACATCATGACTCTAAGGTGTTTTGAAGAATCACTTTCATCTTTCCTATTCAAAGGATTCAGCGCGACCTGAGCTGGAGTTTGTCGTAGAAAATCGATTCCTTCTCCATTTCTCTTTTTAAACAACTAAAAAATCATTCCTCAGTACAACAACAAATTATGACCAACAAAGGATCCTCGAAATCCTAAATGAATAAAAGGAAACAAAACCGACAACCTGTCACCAACTACACTAACTCCCGTCCGGTTAATGCTGACATTAGAGTTAAATCACCTACTGTGGACAAAAGTGATCTTCAATTGCCGAGAGCGATTCGCGTAACGCTGGCCCAATTGCGGTCTGGATATTGCAGCAAGCTAAACTGATACTTGACTAGGAATATGAAGGCTCCTCCCACGACATCAATTACCTACTCACATGCCCACTCAACCCAACTCAACTAATTCTCCTCTCTTTAAATTCATCCATCAGAGTCTCAGAACAACCGGGGAGTCGCCCCTAAGCTTAACAAGACGTTGACATTCCGAAAACCTACCTAGCGGAGGAAAAAACTTTGTCAAAAATTATGTTTGGAGATTACAACCCATTACAATACAATATCATTGAGCTCGCCAAGTTTGCTCTCCATTAGCAAGTAATTAGTTATGGATTCTGCTCTATAAAAAAGCACTTCTGAATTTTTAACGTACATTTTTGGAAAATTGAAGCCTACACTTTGAGTATTGATGCTCGAGATCTACTTTAAAACTATGCTACCACTTACACCGTTTTGTATTACCCGAAAAGATACAGAAATAGTAAAAATATATATTATGGATTGTAGTTTTATTTAATTTCTGCTTGTAGCCTAAGTATCTGCCTACCTAATTTTGTATGTGTATTCATTCAATAATTTCAAACATTTTCTCTTCTTTTACAGTCCAACGATTACACCTACCAAAACACACTAGGTCGCCGTTCTACACTCGGCGCCTACTATCATATGAACAAGCAGCCTTCATACACGAACGAGCACAGTTTGAATAGTCAGTACGGCTATAATGCGTGGGGCATATGGCGTGATGGACGTAATATAGCGCCCTCAACATTCTCCGCCAAAACGCATACACACTACCAGAAGCCGCGTTCATTCTCCATTATACTGACAACAGCAGTGTTTATTGTGTTACTCGCCGTGATCTCAATAGCCGGATTGGCATTCTACTTTAGCTCGGTGAAAGCGAATTTGGAAGATCGTAAGTGCGGTGAATTGTAGAAAAGTTTGTTTTAGAAACAAAATTTAATATTGGCTCTCTCTCTCTCTCTATTCTAGCTGTGCTTGGATTCGAGGGTTCATTTCGCATTGCGAAGGGTGACCTCTTTTCGACGGGCCTAAAGTATAATCACACGACGACTTATAAGCAGAAAATCGAATTTTACAAACGTTTCGTTGAACGCTCACTAATGGATAATGGCTTGCAGCCATTGCGCGTGGATACGTGGGGCTTTGGTGAGGGACCGCTGATAAAGGTGTTTTTTCGCACTTTCCTGGATGTGAGAAAGTTGCCACAGTGAGTTTGAAGCAGTTAAATTAAAAAAAAAAGAAGATACTTGAATTTTAATCTCCTAATTATTACAGAAATATCCATAGCGTCGAAGACTACATCAAAGAGTCACTATTTCTGGAAACAACAGCTACTAAATCGTTATATCGCTCTTTGCGCATAGACGCCGACTCGGTGGAGATAAAACGTATACTGGACGAGTCGGTTGTGCGTTCGGCATCGCTCTTCAAGGATGCTGTGTGTAGTTTTGATTTGAAATTTCCCTAAAATTTTTAATTAAATTCCTTTACTTCCAGATGCAGCAACCCACCAGCCAGTCGCAGCTCGAGAAACGTCTTATAAAGAAACCGAATACGCCATCGCTACTTTCTAAACCCGCCACTACAGTGAAAACGCGTACCACACACCGTCCTCACTCGGCGGACGATGAACCGGAAGTGGATGTAGAAAATGCGCCAGTTATACAAGGTTCCTTTGAAGGTTCTTTCGAAATCACCAAAACCGATGCTGATATCTCGCGCAAGAAGGCTACTATGCCTACGAAAGCTTACACAAGTTTGGCACCCAAAGCTGTTACACCGTTTGCATTGCGCGTCAAGCCAAAGAAACCATCCATTGAGAAGATGACGACAATTATACCACAGCATCAGCAAACAATGACGACGTTGGGCGCAACATCTACAAGCACCACTAGAGCAACGAGCACCACTAAAGCGACTACAACCACTTCTAAAGCAACAACGAAAACTACGTCCACATCGACCAGAACTACGGCTACAACTCGAAGGTCGACCACAAGCACCAGCACTTCAAGCACTTCGGCACCCATCACAACCACAACCACAACCACACTGCCACCAAGTAGTAGTACGACCACTACGTCAACAACAACAACTACCACAGCCCCAACTACGACTATCAAACAAATCACATTTCCGCCACCAACCGCTTTTGCGCCTAAACAACCATTCACTTTACCAACAATGACCACACCGTCCATGGCTTTGACGGTGCCCAAGTTGGATGCAAACCTTTTCACTTCCATACCAGTGCTTGACACACAGCCATGGCGTCCGATACATCGTGAAGTACCTGAACTATTACCAGGTCCACCACCTGCATATCCCACAAAAACGCTGACTGGTGTAGACAAGCCGATGCCGGTGGCATCACTTGCGCCAGCCTTTCGGCCCGACATGCCTACGCGCCGCATCGATGAGATCGAATTGCCTTTCATACCGGAAAATCCTTCACCACCGACCCCACCAGCCTTCAATCCGTATGCGCCCGGTTTCTTTGGTACTGCTGTACGAAAACCCGAAATGAGCGCAGAAGCGCCGAATCCGCAAGACATGCTATTCTATCATAGTTTCGGCAATCCAGTTTTTATGCCAGGTACAGAGGACATTGAGCGGCTGGGCGCGGGTGCGCATGTGAAGCCACATCCACTGCCGGTGCCATTGATTGACGATGTAGTTATACCACCTTTCAAGCCGCTTATACCGGATATGGAGAATGTACCGGTCGAAAACGGTGAGAAGTTCGAGCATCTTGGCGGTGGTGTTATCATGAAGAAGCACGAATTAGAGCAGGCAAGCGGAGAGCAGAAGTCAAAACCCAACGTGGGTGTGGAACCCAGTGATGGGGAGACCGAAATACCGGAGTTGACCGAGAAGACTCTAGTACACAGTGTTACAACTACAACGTATAGACCAAAGTACAGCACACCAAATATTAATCGCATCGAATCGAGTGCAAACTCTGAACTGGCTGACACGATTGGCGAATTTTTCATGGGCTTGCTGAAAATACCCAAAGACGAAACACGCAATGTGACGAAAGTGGTTGAAGAACCTGAAGAACCTAATGAGTCAGCTACCGATGCACCCACTGAGTCACCTATCGAATCACGCGTGGAACCTGACGAGAATAACAAGGAAATAGAACCGGAGTCCGACAGCAAAGTAGTAGAAGAAGATGAGGTGGTAGCGACTACGGAGTCAGAGTCCACAGCAGAGTCAGACTCAACGGCAGAGCAGGAGTCGGAGATTGTGCAAGTGGTGGAGAAGCCAGTTGAGGAAATTGTGACAGAAGTTTCAACCACAGCTAAGCCGACTTTCCTGAATATTAAAGAACTAATTTTGAAGCGCAATCAAGCTAAGAATCAAACTCGAAATATCGAGAATAACATAACTGGTCGACCAACACCCACAACGACTCCACCGACTACCACCAGCACTAGCAGCACACCAGCAGTGCTGTCGACCACGACCTACACACCGCCGGCATCAAATTGGCATCGAATACGACCATCATACAATCAAAAGCCACCCACAATACTGGACGACTCAAGTCTCTTCCCATCACAAACGAAATGGGAATTTATGAATAGTTCATCGGCCAATAGCTTCGGTCACACAGGCAACATGCGTAAGGTATTCAACAAAACGCTCCAGGCATGGATATCTGAAGATGTGGGCAGTGGCACTTCGGAGGATAACTTTACGTTGGATGACATCAAGACACGCATAAACAATGCAACCAATATACAAGATATTTCGCTCATCTTCGATACGCTTGCATCCAAGTTGGGCATTACACCCATTGTGCCGACAAAAGTGCCGCCATTCTCACAGAATAAACTCAAACATCCGCAAGTAATGAATGAAAGTCGAACAAAGTTGCCAACCACAGGCACAGGCACAGGCACAGCAACAACCACAACACCACCAATGGCTATTAGAGATAGACCAACAACAACAGTGTATTGGATGCCCACAACTAGAAGAGGCACAATAACTGCAGTACCAGCAGCCGCAACCAAAATGCCGTGGACGACAACCAGAAGAATAACCACAACCACAACCACGACGTCGACGTCGACAACGACAACGACAAACACACCACCGACTGTGCCGGCATTGAGAACGAGGCCAGCCCACCCCACTGCAATGACAACGCCAACGACAACAACAACCACAAAAGCGCCATTGCCACCACCAATGCTAACAGCAACGACAGAAGAAGATTTCATTGAACTTCCGCTGCAGCGACGAGAGCCATTCATCAAACCCATGTCCAGCTTCATGGAGGACACATCTTCGGAGGGCATCGGTGCAGCCATACCGGTGGTGGGTGAGGCTGAAGTTGAGGTCATTGATCCAAATAAATACGAGGAAATGTTGAAGTCATCACAGTTTGCGGCGGACACCACAACGGAAACGGCACCACAGTTGGTGACATTGCTGCCAGTACGCTCCAACTCGGGCATACGCACTTACAGGCCAACGCCGGAAGAGTCTGTTGAGGCGCGCAGCAACGACCAATTGCCTATAGCTGTAGCAGAGGCGATGCCACTAGGCTTTGAGTTGGGGACGGCGGGTGATGGTCAGGTTGAAGTTGTGCCGGAAACTGTTAGCGAGTTGACGGGCATAGCAGAGCCAGTGGAAGCTGTAACAGAAGCAGTGCCGACAACGTCGAGAAGGCCGAGTGCTGTGTCGGGGCCACGACGAAGCGGCGGGCTGGGTGTGGATGGCGGATTTTTTGCAGGCATACGAAGGAAGAGCGACATTAGTCAGGCGAGAAGATTTCCGCCAGCGGAGGCGATTGTCAAAGGTGGACTGCAGGTAAAAGTGAAATGAAGTCAAGGAAAAAATTAAGGGAGGAAACAAATAACAAAGGGAAGAGCAGGTCTTGGAAAATGTGCAAGGAATTAAAGGACGATAAGTCTTAAATTGAAGGAAGAAAATTTCTAAGAGTGTGCAAGATACTGAGAGCTGGAAAATGTAACGACATAAATTTGGTAAAATTTGTAGAAATTTAGTTGAATGTAATTGAAAGTATCTAGCATTTTTATCATAGTTTTTAGATTAGGCAGATCAATATGTTCTTGTTCAATAGTTGTTAGCCGTCATACTTGTCGCCTTTGTAACGGCTGACAATTTTTGAATAACAACCTTTAGTTAAGAGAGAAAATCAGGTTTATTTTTATTAAAAAAAAAACTTTTAATCTAGCTACTCTTCCCCAAGATTGAAGAAATATTGCAATTTCAAGAAGAAATTTAAATTTATGTAACATTAAAAATTAATAGAAAAATAATAGAAAAAACTATTTTTTTTTTTTTTCAAATTACAAATATAAATATTGTAGTAATTTTACGTATTTCTTAGGTAATTTCGTTAACTGTATGTGGTAATTTTAGTATCTTCTTTAGCTAAATTTAAATAACGTTGCAAAATGTGCATTTTTTAAATTTAATAAAAGTAGGTAAGCAGATTTTAAAGAAAACCGAGAATTAAAAAAAGGTAATAGTTAATATTGGATATTTAGTGCTAGTTTTTTCATTTACTAAAATGTAATACAAAGGGTGTATAGTTTAAAAGAAAATCTTTTTTACATTAAGTTTAAAAAAAAATTATTAATATTTTACCTTAATACAAAAAAATATATATATATAAATATATGTTTAATATTTTTTAAACAATAATGTAATAAAAGTAATTTAATTTAGAATTTTGTAAAAAATGCATTTAGAATTTACTGATTTTTTGTACTTAAATAAATAAAAATATTTGTAACTGAACGATGCGTTTGTGTTGAAAATTTATAAAAAATAAAGAAACATTCACAATTATTTTTGAAGGCAGATACTTCAGAACTCATGGTATGTAAAAACTCGCTACCACCTGCTGCTACGTGTTTCACAACTGGCTCCATGAGTTATGGCTGCGTGTACTAAGACCGCAATCAAAAAAAAATAATAAAAAATTAGGCCTCGCGGGCAGTATTCATTTAGAAAAGTGAAATTAGGTCGCGATAAAGAAATTAAATTAGGTCACCAAAGAAGTAAGAAGGCAGCGTTAATTCACGAGGTCTTAATTTCATTCCCCTTCAGAAGCTACTGTGAAGGTATACTCCACCAGCCGCGCAACTGCATAAAGCTCTAGTCAGAGGAATAGTGGAATCGGAACAAGCTATCTTAGGCACCTTTATAAAAGAAAAGAAGAGAGGGCAGTCAACCAGTAGTTAGTCGGATGGGCGCTGCGCTCTTTGGGCGCTAGAAACCACCAGGGAAATATGTCATCTGATAAAATGTTTAAAGTGAAGCTATGTAATAAAGTAACGCAAAGCTTTTCTTCTTCGAGAGACTCCTTTAGGTTAGTACCCTGCATTTGCAGGGATCTTCAAACCCAAGTTCCCGGAAGTCCGGAAGTTTACACCATCTAAGTATATGTAAGCGGAGATAAATTTACATAGAAATTACCGGAATGAGGACATCAAATACTAAGCGAAAGCCAAGCGGTGTTCAGAAACTTATTTGTTTATTTCGTGCTCGTATTTCTTTTTGCAGAATAAAAGCATGCCTTGAAAAATTTAGCCCCTTTGGTAGCATTTAACCCCTAGGGTTGGCCCACTGCCTCGCAAGAGAGATGGAAGCCGTCAGTCCAAATGACAACGAGCTCTACCTAGGCGTAGTTCTTAATAGTTACTGATGAAGATGATCTCAGCAAAGAACGCAACGCAATGAGCGATATTAACTGGCATAGCTCTGCAGGTCTGCGACAGGCTACTAAGTTACAGGGATGGTATAACATGAAGAGATTCCAATATTCAACCAGCCTCCTAAAAGAACAATTTAGAATACGGCACATTGTAGACTAAAAGATGTTTTGAAGAGATGAGGATACACCTTTTAAAATACCTATTTATTACTTACTAAGCGCACAGAGACGAATGCTTTAAAGTCATGATCCGAGTCAATGTTGGCTCTGCGGATAGAACACACATCAAGAAAGCTCGAAGCGTATAATTCGTCTAGCAAAACGTGCTCAGTTTGGTTCGTAGTTCCTTGTTAATATACCAAAGCCTAAAGCTAGCTCATCTGAAGATCTTTCAGTTTTAGAAATAAACAAGGAGAAATAAGAAGAAAGTTTGTGGATTTTTTTTTTTGTATGCGGGTTGTCCGCATCGAGGCTTTAATAAATGGCCTGAGAGGATTGGCAGAACAGTGTACTCGCATATATAATTTAAGTAATGTTGCGACTTTTTCTTAGTGGGTCG